AAATAATAACTTTTTATAGCGTTACTATCTTGTGTAGTAGATTGTTAAATTTAATGTTATTATGACTTAGAACCTCTTTGGTTAAAAGCTAATTTTATTAAGAAATTTTTTATTGAAAAAATTATTAAGAAAATATTGTATAAAAGGTTTATAAATTTTGTAATAAAATTTTATTGAATTATTAATTTTTGTATATTTGATAAGAAATTAGAATAAAAAAATCAATAAGAAAGTTATCAAGCAAGTCTTATACAAGAAAAATAGGAAAAATATTTTTTTTCTTTAAATATTGAATATAAAAAGTTATCAAGTGTAAGAAAAAAAAGTTTATATATTGAGAATTGTATTAAAAAAAAGGATAAAAATAAAATTTTAACTATTTTTTATTATAATATTAATATGTGAAAATATATAAATAATTTTATAAAGAAAAAAAAAATTTAATATATATAAATAAAAAAGAGTGATTTAGCGACCAAACACCCTCTTAAAAATTTGAAGTTGATAAATTCATCTTGATTCATCAGAAGTTAAAATCCACCCCTTAGCCCTGTCCTTGATGGGCGCATCACCACCAAAGATTGCACCACTAATTGTGTTGGTAGCTCTAGTAAAAATTTCGAAGTTTGTACAGGGGATGAGGTGATTCTATTAGATAAAAGTTTACAACACAGCCAAAGAAGAATTGAGTTTTTTTTCATAAAAGGATACATTACCTACCATATTTATTAAGCCTCATCATTGTACAATGAATAAGCACTCTAAGCAAGCCTCAAAACTTTTCCAAGTAATATATATATATTTGCAATTCATACAAATATTTACCTTCTTTTTGGCCAATCATACAAATATTTACCGTTTTGGTTCATTTCATGTCTTTCCCTCAAAGAATTCACCCAGCATGTGTTCAAGGTCCTCGGGAGTGTATTTGATGTACTTAAGGGAACTTTTTCCATTCTCAATCACAGGCCTGTTGAACGGGAAAAGAAGTAGCAGATGAGATGGAAACAACAAAAAACAATCAAGAATTGAAAGATTAAAACAAAGGTTTGTATGAGAGGACGTGCCCAAAACGTCTAACGAAGGATCTATAGGCAGGCAGGAGGACTTCAGCCACAGCCAGTCTCAAAGACTCGCGTAATTCACTGTCAGGAACTGTCCATTGTGATTGCCTTTGATGAAGCTCCTCAAATTGAGCATTGAAAGTCTTGCATCTGTCCTTCACATTAGCTCTTGAAATTCCACTGCTACTATCAAGTCCCCCACCTGGTGGAGCACCACCCTGAACGGTAAGACACTGCAGGATCTGCACAGCTAAAACATAAGCATATCAACAGGGGTTCGAACAGAGTATAAAAGGTTTCTCAGGACTTCGATATTATGCAATCAACATGGTGGCTGAATGGTTAAAATTGCATTAACAATTTCACTTTTCTTAAAACATTATATATCAAAGAGACTTAAACTTATAGCAAGGTTACTTGATCCTGAATTTTTTAGTAAGAACTTAGATTAACAAAGAAAATCTCTAGCACTTTCCATACCAGGCATCAACTCGGTCTTGTCAGAAATATTTGGTAAGAAAAAGTTAACTAGCTGATCATACAGCTTGTGCTATGAAAAGAGTAACTGATCCTAGTATAACCTTTATGATTATCTACAAAGCATCAGGGCACTCAAAAGTAAATTTTAGGAAGACCAAAAAGAATGCAAATTCAAACCAAAAATGAAGAAAGAAGGGGGTGAGTGGAACCAAGCCTTTTAAAACAGCCATATAGCCAGAATACCAAGTGTTATAAGAATATAAATGCAAAGTCTTTAATAAAATCTGTATTGCAAACAAACTGATCCGAGATGCATAATCAGTTAATCACAGATTAAAAGAGAAAGCAATTTATTAAATTCTAGAAAAGCCTGAATCAAGAAATGAAAGAATGCACATCGAGTTTGGGAACACAACCTTTGCCCAGGAAACCCTTTTATATTGATTTGCATGTTGCTGAACAATTCTCCTGTGAATTTGCACCCAGTCATCCCCCAACAAATCCTTAGCTTCAGTCCTGAAAGAAATAAATATTTAAACAAACATACAAGAATGCAAGGAAGATCATGACTTTTCAATGAAACAAACTAAATATAAAACATGGTAATGCACCTCCGGACAGATCTAACTATGTAGTGGACATTGTTCATAAGAAATAGTTGAGTCAAGGCAGGATCTTTATACTGCTTGGATTTTCCATCTAGATTGGTCTGCAGAGCCTGCACAATCCTTGTAGTTATAGTTGCTAACTGAGCATCTCCATTAGCACCTTCCTCTTGAAAAAGTTGCTTTAGTGTCGATCGGTAGCTGCAGATGTCCAATAAAAACAATCAGATGCATACTATTCTGTGAAGAGAAACAAATAACCAGGTGAAAAAAGAATAAAGTGAAAGAGACAGCAACCATGGGACATTTAGGAAATTACTGATAAAAATATATATAATAATAGATTCAAATCCAACAACCCCCAGGGGAAGGATTCATACAAATCGTGTAGAAATAGGCCACACTTCTACAAAGTAAGCATACTCTATAGTCAGTAAACCAAGGGATAGATCACCAAATAATACTTCTGACAAAATCTTGTATCCTGGAAGGTTGTAGTGGCAAGCAGGTTGTGCATTTAGAAGTATGCATTCTCTAACTCTATCTCAGTACCTTTTATATTATATTTTCACTTCGCTGACAAGACTGCTAACTACATGCAACAGCCACAGGATTAACTACTATACTCAGTCAACAGCAGAACAATTTCCACTTACTCAAATAGAAATTTCACATAATTTATCACATAGCTAGTCAAAGGATGGACTGTTCCATCAAGAACTGCAGTTCTGGTGGCATCTTTCTCAACTGCTTCCTCAAAATCAACAAAGGTCTCTATTGCTGTCTGAGATAACCGCTTTGTCAAACTCAAGGCAGATTCCTGCATTTCTAAACAAGCTTTACTTGCAAACACTGATTCAATCTGCTTGTAATCCCACAACCCAAAAGAAGAAAAAAAAAAAAAAAGAGGATCAGTTTCTATTTTCTAAAGCTAGAAAAGTCAATTTGCATTTGTCCCCACAATGTGTACCATCAGCCAAAGGAAATACATACCAATGATCCAGTTATAGCTATATAAGTCAATCACAAACAAAAATGTAATTTTCAATTTGATGCTGTTCCACTTTTCAGATTGCTACCATTTTAATGCATAGTCCAAATAAATATTACATGCTGCTCCCCATTGCAGAGTATCTTCAGAAATGGATTGGCATCCACATTAAATTTACTAAAGCACGATGCAATTTTTAAGGTTAAATGATACATTTTTGTTAAAAGAAAATTCAAGGGCTCTAATCTCTTTCAGAAAAATAGCTTCTACCTTGTTTTAAGACACTAGCCACCAAATGAACCCCCAAAAGATATGAATGATCATCATCATCGTATTATTATCAGTTATGTCACTGGCTATGTTTTTGTAAGAACAAGCTGTGATAAAGCCTACAACATTGAGTTCTCATCAATAAAAGAACTAATCCACTAAACATGTACTCATCCAGAACATGATGTGGGTATCTTTAGACAAGAAAAGTCTTGCCAACAGTATATGAAACTGAATTTAAAATGTTTAGGATAATTGAACAACTAACAATGCACCAGATAAAAATTAAGAGGTGCCTTTTTGTGAAACTATTAAATTTGTTGAACCTGTAAGTCTGTAGCTTACCTACATTAACGATGAAAAGTCAATTTTGTTGATAAAAAAGAAAAAATCCAAGAAAAAGTTTACCATATAGCTCAGCTATCACAATGTAACTTAAGCCCATGCAACTAGAAGAATTTATCATACCTCTGGCTGTACTTCTCTCATTATCTCATACATGTCTAAAAGGACAAATAACTTTTCAGGTTGTCTCTTGCTTTTGGCAATGGCATCTCCAAAACTGAGGAGTATAGCTACACTATTTGCAGTGACTTCTGCAAAACATTGATCCCTGAGAGATTCCGCACCTCCAAGTACTTTATCACAGATTTTCTTCTCCCCAGTTAGGAGTAACTTGACCTGTATCAAGCATTATGACAGGTTAGAAAAGAACAAGCATGGTAGCAATTAGAGTTTGATATAAATCCTTACAGCAACCCGCATGTCAAGTATCCAGTTCCCAATCTTAGCTTCCAAAACCTCCCACTGCATTTTCTGGACATCATCTTTACTAAGTCTCTCCACACCCAGTTTCCTAAGGCTTTGTTCCAAGAACGAGGCACGAATGTCCCTAGATGTTCAGAAAGATCATATGATTGCCCCACTTAAAGATTCTATAAGCGACAATAATAAATGCAGAAGAAAATCAAAATAATATTCCAGTTTTGTTTCCGGCAGATTAACAAGCAATCATTTGTAAGAAGAAATGAATCCTGTCATCTGTTAAGCATGCATAGCAAATTTCTGCATTAAAAATTTCACAGAAAATCAAATAAAAGGTAAAGAGGTACAGAGTTTGTCGGCCAGAGTTTTTAACTAGGATTTATTGAATGATTAAAGTTTAAAGACATACAGATCCCAAGACTATCAAGTTCATCCTTTGAGATGTGAATCAATTCACTGAAAAAAGATAAACAAAAGAAAATTGTCTTCCAACAGCTTTTATTTGCTCCTGGAAAACTTGTTCCTAACATACCTCATCATCAAAAAGACCTACTCCCTACATAACGTTATCTACTTATTGCCAACACAAATGAAATGTTAAATGTAAAATCAAGAAAATCTACCAGAAGACAAAATTCCTCAGGATTTTTCTCACCATGCAATATGAATTCCTAAATTGAATGATCAGCAGCAATGAAGATTGATGGCCAAAAAAACACTAATAACGATCAAGGCTGTAAAAATTCATGGAGCAAGCTACAGCAGGTTAATGGGCAAACAAGAAGGGCGAAAAGAAAATTCACCTGTAAATTCTGAATAGCTGTTGTTGGTGACCAGCTTGAACCATTTGTTCAGCTAAATCAGACAGTAATGGCAGAACCCTGGGCGGAATAAGATCTATGGTTGTGTAAACCACATTTTCTGATCTTTTCCTGTGGTTGTCAGAGCGATTCTTGCTATTTGGATCACCTTGTTGGCCAGGTGATCCTGGTGATGGCCGTAGGGAGTTGGGAACACATTCAAGAAGGCGATCAGGTTCCACAGGATTGCTGAAATTCAAAAATGAAAAACCAACTTAAAGGCCTACATTGACAAGTTGAATCTTAAGTTGCATATTAAAATTCTTTCTAGAATTCAGACAGATTCATCCAGCTTAATGCATAGAAGGGAATTTGTGAAACAGAAGTCAGAATAAGAAAGCAAAAGGAGATTCTTAGGACATATTACAAAGAAAACAAAAGTTACTAACTGTAAAATATTAACAAAAGAACACCTTTAGATATTGGTGTAACCAACCTGTAATTCATCAATATCTGTTTGAACTCTTCTTCAAGTTTTGAGATAGCCTTTGCAATTAAGTTATTAACATGGTTAAGCACCCCATCAACGCTCTTGAAATTTGTGTTACTACTGAAAAACTTCACATTGCTTCTTAGCTGATCAATTGCTTCCAGGTAGCTCTCAAGGTCCTCATGCGGCCCTCTCAAAATCTTTGCCTCTGCCTAATAATACAACAGAGTATAAAAGCAGCATCATGAATATACATAAAAAGATAGTCATCAAGTGCCACAAAGCAGCATTACTACCTCCAATCCATTTTACTTGTTACACTTTTACTTGGCACGATTATAGAGAAAATTACAAATATCCATAAAAACACAGTTATTACTAATTAAAATTTCTTATTAACGAGGGTAGTTTTTTTATTTGGTATATCATATGATGCGCTTTACAACAGAAGGTAGAACTCCCCTTCCCAAACCCCTTCCCATCCATCCCAGATTTGAACTTGAGATCTCCGATATGGAGAGTCAAGTTCTTAACCACTTGAACTTCCCCTACAGGGACATTAATGAGGGTAGTTAGGAAGTTTGGGATGTGTTCTTTTTAAGAATGGAGTAAGTATAATATAAAGGCAAAATTTGTAAAGAAGACTCTAATGCCATGTTATTTCCTTTTAGAAAGTAGTATATTATATATCCCAACAGAAGTCAACCTTGATCTTAACTTATCCTAATTGTCATACCCAGAAAGCTCCATGGAATGGCGACAACATCAACAAACCAAGAATATTCTCATTTTCCATATAATCAAACGAAGAAACAGAATGAATAATTCAGTTCCAACCAAAATGCATGCAGTAACTCTCAGAAAAATGGGGCAGCCAACCTTGCGCGCCAGATCAAATTGCGCTAATATAACCTCCGCCGTCTTCAACGCCTTGTCGATATTCTCATGCGCTTTCCGAATCGAATGAGTTCTTATCTACGACAACCAACCCAAAAGTTAAATACAAGAAAAGAAGACAATGAGGTAGGAAAGAAGGGAAATTTCAGGGGGAAAACAAATGGGGGACCTGAGTGGGGCGCATGGCGGTCTCAAGAGCTGAGAGTCGGTGATCGAAGGAACCAAGAATGGAGACCATACTTTCGGTGATGGTCTGGCTCTTCTGGAGCGATTCCCTCACAAGTGCTGCTCTCCCGCGCAGCAACTCCATTGCCTGAGGCAAACCCATCTTCTCTCTCGCTCGTTCGTAATGGAGAGCGAATGGAAATGGCAAATGCGAAACGAAGGAAGGAAAACAAAAGTGGGTGCTGGCCGGAGCGTGATGTGCACGTTACTTGTTTGGTGCTTGGTGGTTTGGCGTTGTTGATTTTCGGTTTTGATTTTGCTTTTACGTCTACCGTCGAGACCAGAGGGATGCAATGAGAAGGGATGAAGTAATGCTGGGAGTATCGAGTCGGTCAGCCGGTGTGGGTCCGGTTCAGGAAATCGGATCTGGGTTTGTTTTATTACGTGTAGTGTACCTGAAGCCACGTGACGTGATTGAAAATTTTGCATACGAAATCATAGTTTGTTATGAATTAATTTGTTGTGATGCTTCACGTTTCTCGTCTTCTTATCTCTTCCTTATAGCGTCATTTTTCATGACATTTATTTACATATATTAAATAATGATGTGATATTTATTACTTTTATATAATTATAATAGTAATTAATACTTTATAATATCGTGTACCTAGATGAAAATAATGATATTCCTTATAATCTTTTTATAGTAGAGATTAATCCTTATAACTTCATATTTAATAGATATTTATTTACTATAACTCCTACCACTTTTCTTTTTTTTATAAAGATAATGGTTAAGAAGTTAGTATGAATTAGTAGTTAGTAACTGGGGATTTAATCCCCATACCAGGTAAATATTCTACCCCTCAAATAAGGCGCGTGGCTATCAGACTGCTTTTTGGTGAAGTTCACGACAATGGTAGAGTTTAAAACTTCGACCACCTCACCTAAGCACTTAAGGATTGGGGTCGAACCATTAGACTTAAAGACCCGGTTCAACTCCTACCACTTATTAATTCTTATATATAGGGATTCTAGTCTTACAAATGTATGGTGATGAAATAAAGAAGAAATGAATAATAATAAAACATATCTTTACAGTGCCTCACTTTATTTCTTTAATTTTTTTTGCTTCTTTTAATTTTTTTTTATTTTATAACACGATATCAACTCGACTTATCTCTATATAAAATACTATTCATGAATCATATTTAAGGTAATAAACCAATTAAGATAAAGATATATAAGTTGAAGTAAAATTTTGAGATAAGATTTTAAAACAATCTAATCTTTAAATTTTTTGTTTTTTAATTTGAATATTCTATGATGCTATATCAATTTTCTTGTTTATATATTATTTTGCACTTGTCGAAAGAAAGAAAACTCATTTACCTCCAATGAATTTTGAAGATTCAATTTTCGAAGGAAATAAAGTATTTTTTGAAGAAAAAATATTTTTGAAGAAAAAAAAACATCCTTGAAGGATTACGATAAAATGATATTTTCTTTATTATGAAGACCAAAAAGGACTAAGAGATTAATATTTGATAATGAATCATTCATTAGACTCATGGAATTATTGGGAAGAAAGATAATCATCAAAAGAAAAGTGCAACTTTTCCAAAAAGCTATCTATAAATGAATCCATTTATTACTTGAGTATGAATTTGTAAATATTTTGAATTATTTTATATAGAAGAAAAATTATTATTGATAAAGACATACTAGAGAAGATATACTTTTCTTTTCATGTCTCAAATATGTTCCAAAAATAACAATTTCGAAAAGATAATTTTAATATGTATATGTAAAGTAAATATATGTCTTCTTATTGTCAACAAAATCATGAATTAATGGAAAAATCATTGATCACAACCATTTGTTTGATCCCATTCTTTGAAAAAGAGGTGACATTGTATTATAATTATGGTTATGAATATGGTTGTGAAACAAAAAGATTTGCAAAATAAGTTAGTAATGGATTTGAGAATTCTTATTATAGGCATGACATGAATGAACATTGTTCATATATTTTTAATATATGCAATCGATTCATGTGCTTATCATATGTCTCTAACAATTTGTTTGATTTATTACAAGCTTTACCCAATGAGAAGGGAAAATGTGCAAAAATATATTTTTGTGAAA